CCACTACAGCAGCATGGGATGGACGCACTTAAATATATAGAGAACAGAGCGCAGTGCACTGTGATATCAAAATACAAGGACTTCTTCTTCTTTTTTTTTTTTGGAGGAGAGACTGGGGGAGCAGTATATTTATGTTTTATGGAAAAAGTTAATGCAACAAAATTAATTTGGCTGGGTCATTTAAAGCATGACTTTAGTTGCGGTGAAATTGAATTGCGTATGTATAAAAGCATTGATTATAAAGTAAAAGTGATAAGAGTCAATAAAGAGACAGATTTCAGATGCAAGTGGACAAAGTTGTCTGTTGCTGCCACTAGAGGCCGTACCACTGGCTGCAGACTCCGCCAAGACAAGCATGTAAAATCGATTACATTAGTCACTTATTAAAATGGTTGTAAGTAAAAACGTGTTTAAATAAACACGGAATTAAATAAGAAATGTGTGTGCGTTTACACACACATATATATATATACATTACAATTTTATATTTATTTTTTAATTCTATTTCAATTCCAACATTTTTGGCTCAGGGCAATAAGGATTTTTTCAAGAATCATATTAATCGGATAGATATTTAGCCTTTAAATTGTCTAGAATAATTAGACTTTGTTCATAAAACTATATAATAAATTAATATTGTGTTTTAAAAGTAACTTGTAATCAATAATCAGTCAAAACACCGAGCAGAAAAAATGTCAAAAATGTGCGTCATTTAAAACCATCCTTTTTTGTCTTTTAAAAAATACTAAAAAAAAACACTAACATGAGGTGAAATATTTAAAGTGTAATAAAACTTGACCTCGAGTGTTGAGGTTTAATATAGAGAAATAAAAAACGGTAATAATTCATAAATCATAGGAATAAGAAGCTCATGAGTGGGGGGGTCAGAGGGGGGGGTGCAGTTCAAACTCACGATGCTATGTGGTGTCATTCCAACACAAAACACACACACACACTCGCGTGCTCGCGCGCACACACACTCACACACACACACTTCTCTCCACTGCGCTCCAACTTACTGCGCCAGTTTGGGAGTTGTCTTCCTCATGTTGTAATAAAACAAGACGCGCTCCTCGTCCTCATCCTCATCTTCGTCCTCTTCGTCCTCTTTCACCCGATCGGGCGATCCCGCCTCATTCCGCCCGCACTCGGAGCACCGTGCGCCCGCTCCAAAAGCCACAGTCCGCCCTGCACGTCGTCCGCCTCTTCACGCTCTCTCCCGGGTAGTCCGCGCTGCTCGCAGCCGGCAGCCGAACGCGCCGCGGCCGGCGAGCAGTGGCTGGCTGCTCCGCTGTGTGTCTGCTGCTCCGCTGTCTTCTCTCCGCGAGTCCTGCAACAAGAAAAAGCCGTTTATGGCGACACACAATGTGAAAAGGGGGCCTATTTAAAAAGGAGAAGAATGCAAGCAAGAACAACAAAAGTCAGTTATAGCAAAGTCTATGCCTCTCCTCTCTCCCATCTTCCACCCCCTAGCTTAGCCCACATAATGAGCAGGAGAAAGCTTTATATTTTGTTCACTGGGTATTCACAGATAATTTGAAGCCATTGTTTCTGCCACAGATGGTTCTTTTTAATACAATAACGCTGCTCTTTGTGAACAGCGAGCCCACAATAAAAATCTAAAGCGTCCTCCTGAATAACCATTTTGTTCTCTCTTGTATAGGCCGAACAAAAGCGCCAGTGAGGTAATGGCCTGCCTTATTGAAAGCCCCAGAATGGGGATTTGATAAAGATTTTTTTTTCACTCCTTTTTTTTTTTTTTTTTTGGCCTTTGCACACAGTACGTGGCAATGTCAAAGAGAAAGTGACACGGTAAGAAAAGAGAGGGGAGAAAAAAAGTGATCGCACTTGCATTTCAACATTATTATTATTATTATTACTATTATTATTATTATTATTGATATCCTAGAATTCAGGGCAGCAGCAGCAGCAGCAGCAGCAGCAGCAGCAGCAGTGCAGGTCAGGTGCAGACGCCTTATGGGTTTTTACAATGGGGCTTAAATCCAGAATACATTAGCCTCCAAAGGTCTACTGTGGATTTGGCACAGTCTCATGGTTTTGCATAGGTGAGTCAAGTTGTGTGCATGATAAAATGATCCATTCTGGGCATATCTTTTGCAGAAACCTCCTGTTTCCTTTTCCTGCCTTTTCACCACAATCGTCCTGAGAAATGATTGCCGGCCCTGCGGCGTTGATAAGGCACTGTGAAATGTCATAAATTCATGCTTGTTAATGGGAGTCGTGCATGCAGCGTGTGTGTTACTTCCTCATGGTGAGTTGCACAACTTGGCAGGTGCAGGTGCAGTCAACACGTGTCAACTCCTAATCCTAAAGGATGCATCCTGCAGCCCTGTAGCGCCACCCGCCCGGGTACGACCACGGTTGATGTAATTTGTAATTAACTCATGGCTAATCAATAAAGCATTTAACAGAGAGCACAATGGACACAGGGGATGATCCCAAGCCAAACATATTGGATGTCAGTGATCGTTACCAGGCGAGGACACCCTGTCTATCACGGGCTGGGAGGAGGAGCAGGGTGAGGAGGGTGGAGGGTGTGTGTGAAGCTGCAGACGATAGGGGCACCAGATGAGGGGATGATGGGTGAGGAGGAGAGACATGAATACGGGTTATTGGCAGAAGGGCAAAGTGTAGAGAAGGATAAAGACGGGGATAATGGAGGGCAGGGGGGCTGAGGAGGAAGAATTCTATTTCAACTCAGCCGTGGTACAGATGACTTCACAGAGAATGGGTTTGGTCCTCTGACCATTATGTCCACAGACTGTTGGATACACACCGACACATACGGACAGCACCGTGGGACGGAGGAGGCCACGATTTATATCTGAAATCTTTAAATAAAAAAAAACAAACCATCAGCACTCTGTGGGTGGGAGTGGCCAAAATATGAGAATGACCTGAGGATGTAGAGTTAGGATGATGTAAACTCTGGGAAAATAAAACTGCATGACGTATCAAAAACAACAAAGAAAAAGAACATTTTTTAACACCAACACTGACCACTCTGACGTTAGGACAGTGCTGACCAATCACACCGTCCAGTTTTCCATCATCATTCCAACATCCTTCATATTTCCTTAGCCTGACCTTCATCCAATGGATCCAAATTTAAAAGGATTTTTTTTATTTTGCTTTTATTTCTTTTCTAGTGATTACAAATGACAAACTTTTCCTATACCAGAGTCAGGTCCACGGAACGGAAAAACATGAAGGAGACTTTAAGACTCTGTGACGAAAAGAGGCCAAAAGTGAGGGTCGGGGACAGAGAATGAGAGAGAGAGAGAGAGAGAGAGAGAGAGAGAATCAGTGCTGTAAGTGAGGATAGACTGCAGAGAGATATGGACGGCTTTTTATCGGATCAATCTGTGGCATGAAGTCTACACCACAGTCATAGCACTTTTAATTATAAACCCATCTACAGAGGCTGGGGAATATGATGGTGATGGTGGGGGTAGTTGGGTCCAAAGGCACCATGAGAACCTTTAGAAAAGAACCAGCATCATCACTGAATGCTAATGTGTTTTGCATTGAAACTGTCCATTCAAACACACACACACACACACACACACAGAGCATTTACATATTCATGAGGACGGACACTTTTGCTGCGTCTGTTTCGTGTGTTTTCTCGCAGCTTGGCCTTGTGGTTTCCCTCTCTTTGTGTGTGTGTGTGTGTGTGTGTGTGTGTGTGTGTGTGTGTGATACTGACACAGCAAACAGTCAGGGTGAGGACTACTGGACAGACAGCTGTCAATCACACTGTCACACACACATGAATGCACTTTCATTCAGCCAAACATCTAAGTCAGAATTAAAAAAAAAAAAAAACCAACATCTAAGTCAGAATTAAAAAAAACCCCAACCATAAGAAGTATCAAGTATCCAAGTACCTTCTACTGTCCACTGTACTTCATACATACAGTACATGAGTGTTTACTAGTTAGTGGTTAGTTTTGGCTATTAATTGTTGTTTTGTTTACTTATAATACTAATAACTGTCTTTTTGTTCAATTTTATACTTCACTTATTAAAGGGTATATAATACTATACAGTATTATATGATGTGAAAACTACACCATGGGCCTTCTATACTATACTATACTTTAACATACTATACTGTACTATACTACAAGATTCTCCGACTTGTTCATAGTCTTGTGACTTTGATTTTTATGTTACTGTTAAATTATTTTCTTTAGTAACACAGAGGTTTTTCCTTTATTTTCAGATATTTTTACACATGAGATCAGTCTAATGACACCGTGTGAACTTCCTTCATCTACTTTTGTTACTGTGTTGTTTGTGTTCCAGGTGAAGTCTATATTTTTTTTACTGTGTTCACCAGAAATGACAATGAATTTGATTTGGTTTTGCAAAAAAAAAAACCCCAAAAATGAACCCCTATTTAGGAACACTTTCCTAAACAGAAAACGTGTAAAGAAAAAAATCCTGCAGTAGAACTGTGCAGAGTTGCAATGAATGTCTTATTTGAACAGTAAGTAGCAGCAGTATAACCAGGATTGGACTGTCCCACCATACCAGGTGATGGCACAGCACTGCCCGATAGTCCGTTAAGTTTTCGTGTGGTTAAACTTTTTTAATAAAGACCTGAAAATGTTAGAGTGGACATGAATTTCTATAAGAGCATTTGCCACTTCATCCGCTGCAGTGCGGACAGGGTCAGATTGTGAAAAGTGCAGGACAGAGGATTAGGGCTTTAAAAGATACTAAAATGCTGACCACCTCCGGCAGCAGACGTGATAGCCGCCGGTCAGTCCCTGCAGCCGTTTGTTCGGGAGGCAGGCAGGAAGAAAGCTGCGCAGACACAGCTGTCAGATATTTACACAACAGCACTCCTCAATGGCATCTCATTACTGAAGAATGCAACATCAACAGTTTGAACTCAGCAAATACACAACGTTTGCCCACGGCTTCCCTGCTGTAAGCCGCCCAGGCTTATGCTCTACAATAACTGTTGACTTTGTTTAACAAGTCTGGAGTTCTACAATAAAGGTGGAAGGAAGGTTTAAAAAATCCACTCCATTCTTTAGAAACACCTGGATGGTCTCTGTGGAAGACAGCAGCGCTCCTCGTCGTTCTGATTTAGTCAACAGTCATTTTCTTCAGTAACAAACATCAATCAAACACGCTCTCAGATGTTGACACTTCACAGAAGTCGTACATATCAGCATCATCATCATCGTCATCATCGATACATATCAGCATCATCATCGTCATCATCATCATCATCATCATCATCATCATCATCATCATCATCATCCATATTTTTTATTTAAAGGTTTTATTATTGGATTTATTTGTGTTTATGGCTTATTTTTATTTTTGCCTCCATCCTTTTGTTCAACCATCCATCTACTCATCCATCCATCCATCCATCCATCATCCATCCATCCATCCGTCCGTTTGTAGCCTGTCAATCACAGCACCACCAGCCTTTCCTGTCCACAGTCTCCACCAAGAGTTCATTTGGTGAAAGAGTTCACCAACATGATGGTATCTGTCCAGCTGAAGCCTGGTGACATCCAATCAGCTGGCTCTGAATATGACAACCACTAATCCCAACATTTGAAATGATTTGAAGTGAAGTAGAATGAAGGGCTGAATTACTATATGTAGTCAGACGGAGACACAGACGATTAGGCTGTTATTTCAATGGAAGCAATACTACACTACTGCAGTGTAGTTATATTTCATTATAACTGGGAATGAGTTACACTACTGCTGTTATATTTCATTATAACTGGGAATGAGTTACAGTATACAGTAAATTAAACCACCTCATATTTAGAACCCTGATCTCCCAAATGTCTAATCGACAACATATTACCGTGACAGTGTGGCTAATAGCTAACTTAGCCTTTTGGATTGACAGCTAATAATGCTAAGAAAACCAATGGGAACCAATCAGTGGCAGGACAGGATGGGCATCAGAGGCTGTACAGGACGCCTAATGTGACTGATCACATGGTGGCTCATTATAGCACAGCTCTGATCCACAGATCAGTCTAGAAAATATGACCTCATTAGGACAGACGAGCGGTTATTAACGATCAAGTCAGATTAGCGGAGAAACTGGAAGGATGACCATCAAAGTTTGACTGACTGTTTAAATACACTGCAGAACCAAAGTGGGTTCTGTGTTCTGCCCCCCCCCCCCACCATCCAACCCTAACTATAAGAAACACGTCATATAATTCTAATCCAAACTCCAAACTAAATCTCGAACCTCAACTTACCCACGTACTCATTCAACCTGCAAAACACACACACACACACACACACAGATAT